AATGTTTTGGTAGTTTTTGAGTCTTCAGCCCAGAAACTTGGTGGCCTCGAGTCCAAAAACAGATCAACCTAATTCTGGATGTTCTGCACAGAATGGAAGATAGCACCAGCAAGATGTAGCTGCACATATGAAAAAAGGTAGAAGTCTGAAGGAGTGATGTTGGGGATATATGGTGGGTGTGGCAAAAGATCCCATTTGAATCCGCACAGAGTCCAGCCTGTGAATGCAGACACATGCGGTCTTGCATTACCTTAAGAACATTTCCTTTTTGCACTGGAACTTAGTTCAATATTTTCCTTGATAGCAGTGTCAACATGGTCTAGCAACTCGCTGTAAACCTTATTGTTGAGGGTTTTACCTTTTTCCAGATACACTTTGTGTATAATACCATAGCAATCCCACCAAATACAAAGCATGATTTTTTCATTAGTCAAACTGTACTTTGCAACGCTGCTGATGAACTCACCGGATGCAGACCAACCCCCTTTTCGGGTTGTGTTGTTGAAGTAAATTCACTTTTCATCACAAGTGATGGTCTGGTCCAGAATTGCATCCTTGCATTCATATTCAAGCAGGTTAGTGTAAGCCCAAACACGGTAGTCTTTATCTGCTTGAGTCAGCTTATGCAGCACTCAGTGATTGAACTTGTAAATCAAGTTTATGTGATGCATATAATGACTAATGGACATTGCACTAATGTCTCTCCTCAGCAAGCTCTCAAATGGTTGCATACCAATCTTCTTCCACAAGTTCTCACAGGCAGGCCTCATCAACACCAAAAGCCTGGCCAGAGTGCTCTGCTTCTCGAATGTCATGGTCCTTGCTTTTGAACTTTTGGTAAACCTTTGCAATGTAGTATGATACAAAATCAGTACCTAAAGCAGTACACATGATTTGGTGATATTCTTTAGCTCATGTTTTGCAACAGAACTGGAATTAATGGTTCTAATCTGGTAGCGTGATAGTTCCATTTCAGACACCTTGTACTTAATGATAATGATATTTTTACAAATTTCCTGACAGTGTTCTAAAGAAAGTCTCTTTCTTTTAAATGCCGAAAATTGTTTGGTAAAATATGATTACACATGCCAACGTGAACTGTTTGTGCAGACAATATTTGTGGCGGCAGGAAACTTTCTTTAAACCCAATAAATTCAAGTTTAAGCACTTTATACCTAACTGCAATTTTTGTGGAAAGTTTAAAGTTTTACAACTGAAAACACTGTCAGCATGATTTACAGCCATAACAGAATTTTTCAAAAGAGAAATGGAAATCTACATTTTATTAATACAGTCAACATCCATCTAGAACCCATTGAAAAAAATATAAACAACCTACCTGACAGATTTCACATCAGCCTAGTGCAATTTTCCTCTCAACACAACACATCAACTACCATACATCATATCATAAAGACCTTTCTGAATATAAGAATAAGGCAAAATGTCAACCTTTCTAGAAATATATAACCCCTTTCATCTGAAGGGAGTAAGAACAGAAATTTAAATGCAATTTATGCCAGGTGTTTTCCAACACATTTACCTCAAGGACAAAAGTTCTGTTTATTCTGAAAGACAGATAAAATTATTCTTGTAAGATGCGAAAGTTCTAAAGTTATATTCTGTTCTTGTAAGAAGCTTCATAAAGTTTCACAAATAAATCAGTCATTTTAATATTTTACTTTAATAAGAATATGCTTCATTTATGTAAAGTAGATTGACTTTTAAATAACTTTCATCTTCTAATAAATTCAAACTTTTCAGAAGTTAACAAATTACTTAGATAGCAAAGGGCTGTAATAATTATCCATCTCCTATACCTAGCTGCACACCTTCATTCAACATTAGGTTCTCATATGCATATATGAATGTAACAATCAACTTTAATAAGATAGCTATAGCAAACATCTTTAAGCAAATCTCTTTATAGGAGATACTGGAGTAAATCTGAGACATAATTCAAATACACACCAGACTAATATCATCAGCTCACTCATGCATATAACAAAGTACATTACACATAGACCGATAGAATATGAAATCTAACAGATACAGTTTGGTTAAAATTAGTACTGCTGAATTTTGACTAATATTATGAATTCAGGTAATAAATTAGATTCTAATTGTTTGCATTCTAGACGAATTTAAAAAATTGTTATTTTTATCATTTCATACAACTTCAGAACAAATTCTTTCCAAAGAAAGATTTCATTGTTATTCGTTTTCTTCCACCTTCCTTCTACCACTTTCCAAATTGCACGGAAACTAATCATTCCAAGATTAGGATAAGATAACCTGAAAAATTCCCGATGTCTTGAAAAGCAACAGGAGTCTGCACTGAATTTTCTTGCTGTTCCACTGATATCTTTAGTAGTTTCAAACAATTACTTGACTAACAGCAATTAAGCCTCCTCTTTACCAACAGATAATAAATAGAATTTCCATCTAAGCAAATTATTTCTAAAATTGATACTGCCAAAATTCTGAATATTTTCAAAAACAGTTTATTTACAATTCTTTTAAAGGTGCAGATGTGCTTAGACAGAGAAGCTTTTTGCAAAGGATTTTCTCAGAACTGGCTCGTATCCATCATTACACTGGGAAAAACCGCGTAAATTGCATTCAGTCACCCTGCTTGATAGGCTTCGAACTTGCATCAAACTAATGGTGATCGGCAATTTTACTATTCAACAACTGGTGAGCAACTTATAGAACTGGTTTGGTTTATTTGATTACAGAAAATCATGCAAGGGCTAAATGCAGGCATGCATTCAAGGACTTCCTAAGGGAAATTGGCTAGCATCCATGTTACACATGAGAAAAGCTATGAAAACCAACCATGCAGCCAGCCTGTTTTCCTAAAGTCGAACATACGTCAAACTACCAGTGTTGGCAAACATAACTGCTCAGCCACTAGTAGGTGTCCTATGGTACTCCAATTACAATGAACTCTGTACCACTGCAGCCAGATACATTCTAAAGCTGAAGTTAGACATAAACCATGGTTTGCCTTGCATACAACCCTCTTTCATGCAGCCTGGTACTCATGAGGTATATCTAAATAGTTCAAGTCCTGTAGCTACGTCCCTTGCAATCTGTCAGATAAGTGACAACACTCATCACCTTTTTTTAACATTACTGCCACATAACTATCCTGAAAGTCTCTTGTGGCACTATTTCACCTTGGCTGTCTGCATACATCATCAGGGTCTAAGCAATTTACATATTCCTTACATGTTTCTGACTACTTTTAGGTCTTTACAGACCTACATCACTGTCTCTCCTGCTTTCAATTTCCCAAACACATACAATTTCTCATAATCTGCCAAATGACTTTTCAATGACATTTTCCATCTCCTACATGCATAAATTTTATCAAATTACTCATACAATCTCTAAAATTAGAATTTGAAGCATCCTGAAAGAACAACTACAAAAATTTGCCTATATATGTGTGGTGAAGGTGAATTCTATTGGACTATGTGATAATGTTGTCTTTGAGCTACCTACAACTTTTTATTGGACTTCACTTTGTAGAGACATTAGGTATTCTTTAAAAGCAAGAGAGATGAAAAATGAGCAATGCCCTCACCGAAAATCAAACCACAGACCTCTTGAATACGCGCCAAGTGTGCTGACCACTACACCACAAAGGCATGCTAAGAAGACAGGAGAAATACCTTATATACTCCCCCTTTTAAAAGGCGACTGGGGATAAGAGGACCTAATCGCCAAATCATGGTGGTGGAGAATCATCATTCACCAACTTTTTTAGTTCAGGTGCCATGGTAGAGACATAAGGATTTTTTAAAGAGAGATATGGTCACTTAACCTGGTCTGCCAAACTAAGTTAATGGCACTACAGAGTTAGGAAGTCATCCTAGTCATTGCTAGCAATCTGACGATTAGGCCGCCTTACTACATTTTACAATTATCTTTAGTTTCTCAGATATAATTATTTTCATTCACTTGCTTCATTATCTCTATGATGCCCTTGTTGCAGTAATAGTCCGTGATCACTGGGAATCGAACTGTGGACCTCTCGAATACACACCGAGTGTGCTGACCACTACACCACGAAGGCATGCTAAGAAGGCGGAAGAAACAGCGGTGAATCTTTACATTATGGTAACTTGGCAATTTTTTGCCGAAAATTTGGCGACTAAAACTGCTACAGCAACCTGCTGGTTATGTTTTGGACGCCATTTTGTTTTCATGAAGTAAAGGCTTTTTTTTTTTTTTTTTTTTTTACTCAACATTTTTTCCAACAATCTGCTAGCCGAATTACACTTATAATAGAACTTTTATGGAACAAAAATGCTTAACCATGATGAAGATTAGATGCGAAATTGGGAGAAAGTGCAGAATCGCAAACTGCTTGCCGCGTTTTTAAGAATTCCACATACACGGTATCCATGTACACGTCGACCTATTTTCACTTTAAAAAAATCCCAGAATTGCACAAAAATGGCATTGCGCACACTCTTGACTTTATCTATGTACACATCGACCTATTTTCACTTAAAAAGTCAAAGAAATTTGACAAAAATCCAATTCTTCTTACTCTTGTAAAAAACGCCAAACAAATAAGTGGGCGATTCTGCACTTTAGCAGTGAAATTGTTTTTAAGTGCTTATTAGCTAAAATCACGATCGGAATTTTCCGGAAAATGTCACGACATGTCTCATGATCTCTCATTTCTCTGAGACAAAATAATCTGTGATTCGAACTGTGTACTTCTCAGATTATTGCTAAAGTCCTAGCTAGTAACCTTTATCACCTTACCAAAATGTCGCCAAACTACCTGTTACCATATTCTAAAGATTAGCCGAAACACCTTATAACTGAATTTGAATCAAAGCACTTTGTTATAGTTTTTCTGTTATTTTCCCCCTGTTCTTCAAACGAGATTAGCATGATTGTCTAGAACACTACTTCATCTATTAATAAATTAATCTTTTTTAACACATTATACATAAATTTAGGTTAAAATAACACACCAAATAATGATTCTTTATCTTGTTCATTTGCACTTAGGCAGCTGAGGCAGGAGGATCTGTAGTTAAACCATCAAAACTAGTCCTGCAAATTTTACAAATATTATGCTAATTTTAGTTGTTTGACTTGATCAATATACATAAATATTTCTATAAGAAATCTTAAGGGTCAGAGACAAATTTTCCAACTGTTATTTCAAAACATGGGTTTCAGTATTTCCAACAAATTTAAGACAAAAACTTTGTGACCAATTATCTCTAAATGAAATTAAGTACAGTCAAAAGTCGTTAATCCGAACTCGTCGGGACTTCGGCGATTCCGGATTATCGATCATTAGTTTAAATCTCGTAAGATGGCATGCAGAAATGCAGAAATTCTAAAATTAAAAATATGAAACCGTAATTTATGAAATAAAGAACAATTATGATCTAAAGGGTATCAAAATTTACAAAAAAAAAAAAAAAAAAAAAGCTTAATATTTATTTGTTTACTTTATTAAACATTTCTTTCAATGTAAGTTGTTTAAGTTGCTTCATTTTATGTGATACTAATACTTTCTCTTTAATTCTATAAACAGACATAATTTCTTTTCAGTTAAAGAGTTCTGCTGTTCAAGTCCCGTTAATTGCTGTGCCGAGAATACCGACTAACTGGTCAATGGAAATTTTTTCGTTTTCACTAACCTCTCTGTCACATTCTTCATGTCTTTATCCATTTTTTTCAGCAATTTCACTTTTTGTTTGTTGGACATTGAAACATACTTTCGTTTTGTAGATCCTTTGGAAGTTCCAGCATCGGAAATTCTATTTGACATAATCGAAAGTTCAAGTTTACTTTTATAAAATTGCTCTTACAGTCTGCAAAAAATAAGCGGGATCCTATTCGAAGATTAAGGAACAACGCAATCATTAACATTAACTGAAATAGATAATTAGATAATTTTAGCCTACACCGTCCGTTATACATTAAACGCGCAGGCGAAAACGTATTCTGCGCTTGCTCACACGCATATGCGCAGTAGTCAAGTTCTTACGCGCTCGCGTAAAACGCCTGTGCACATGTGCAGAAAGTTTTTAGCTTTGAGGTCCGGATTATAGATCATTCCGGATTATGGGTGTCCGAATTAACGACTTTTGACTGTATTACTGAATTACGAGCTGCAGAAATTTATATGACAGCTCCTGGCATTAAAAAAATTTTATGCTATTCATTGGCAATCTACAGAATGTCCAGATGCTGCGAGTTCTGTTTGGGTGTGAAATAAAAATCCTTTTAACCTAATTAATTTATCAAAACTGTAATCAACACATTAAAAGACAAATGAATGTACATGAAAGACCAGAAGTTTTTTTTTTAAAAACATGCAATTTCAAATACAAATTGAGATATGATTCATCCAGAGATTTTAATATATTAATTTATATATTAGAAAGGAAGAAATATCAGTAAGTTCCAAAAATTTAGCGTTAATTCTGAAAGTAAGCATGCATAATTAGTTAGAACACCATGCATATTTATTTATAGCATAATGCTGAAGAACACCTCCATTGTTAATGGACTACCCATAAGCATATATTTATTACTTCATGCATACCTGAATTAGTGTTAGTTTTAGAGAAAAGCACTAGGGTTAGCTCGAGGATCTCTCTGGTTACGATAACGAACAGTCAACCAAACTCCTACAAACTGAGAAAAAGTTATAAATTTATACATAATATTTCAAGTCATGAAATATTCAATTGTGTCTTGAGATACATATGAATAGAGAACCATGCATAAAAATACAGCATGATACCTTTAAATAAAATTTCATCAGCCACATTAATAATTTCTGAAATATTTTACCTCAGAAAAGCTGAAAAATAGACCTATACCACCACTAATCTTCAAGCTACTATTGATTGCATTTCTAAGTATCCTCCAACAAGTAGGACATTGATTTACACCATTAACAGAACAGCCAGTAATCTGAAATTGAAAATGAATATCAGATAACACTTTAAAATTAGTTAGAATTAGAAATCACAGTAACTGTCTTCAAAATAATTTCAATGACAATTTTAATGACCAAATAAAATTCAAAAGCTTAACAATACAAAGGTTCCCACTAACATTCAATTAACCGCTTGCCTGATTATCCCGAGTTATCTCAGGTTCGTATATATTGCAGTTAATCATTATCCCGGGAAAACTCTGGCGAAGCAGAATTTGTTAGTTAGATTTATTTTATCACGCTTTTACTCGGCCTTGAGAAAATGAAAGGAAATATTCAGCTTTGATTGGCAGTTTGCCAAGTTTTGTTGGTTGCGAGGTTCTTTTGGCAGGACTGGTTACGTCTTTCCCTATTGTATAGTATATGTCGGCTTGTGGATTAGTAATGTATAAAGATAGATACTTGTGTTGAAAAAAAGCAAAAATAATGGCGATGATGCAAGACAGCGAAGCGATGATTTTTCAGATAGTGATTATGAAGAGGTGGAAAAGAAAATTTTAAAAAAATCCAACGACACAGTGTGCTCTGTGCTCCCGTAAAAGAGATTCCAGCAGTAAGTCAGTAAGAAAAGAGACTAGATACCAGTGTACAGAATGTCAGGTATCACTTTGTGTTGTCCTTTGTTTTAAAAACAATCATACAAAGACTAATATTTAACTTGTTTTTGTTTGCCCAAGATAACTCGGGACTGTAAACTAATATTAAAATTAAATGCATTTACATGCATTACATTAAATTAAAAATTCAACTTAAAACCTACACATTTTGATTTGTTTCATTTCATTGTATTTAATAATAAAATAAAAAAAGGTGACGATTTTTTGCAATTTTTTTAATTTTGCAATTTGTTTGAAATTTTTTCAAAATAATTTGTAAAGGAAGCAGTTAACTAAACAATTTTTTGTGAAGGGCTCTTAAGAATTCCAAAATGTAGCATAAGTTTACATGTATAATTTCATTATCCAGAATTCATTGAAACATTTATGCTATTGCTGGGTCTTAAAAAACATATTTTTTAAATACTCATTAGGTCAGTGTACATTTAGAATCTATTTACTGTGGCAAAGAATGTTAAAATTTGCAACTTTGAAAGGAAAGAAATTTTACAGAGAAATTTTTAACCAGCTGCTGTTCACCCATTTGAAAATATTTGAATCTCCACCCAACTCTCACATTTCTTTTTAGAAAGGGCCAAAAATATCACTATTTGTTTATAACAATTTTATACATGTAAGTCAATCATAAATTGCCCTTAATACTAACTTAACATTAACTAAGCAAAAAAAAAATAAAAAATACATCAGAGATACAATTAACAGGTCAGCAAAAAATACTGTGCGACTTTTTAATTCATTGGAGAAAATGCAAATTGACCCACTACTGAAAACCTACTTTGCTCAAACTGAAGGATAATCATCCTTTTATGATACGCAAAAATGATTCTTAAGGAAAAACAGAAAAGTAAAATTTAAGTATAAATAGGCAAAAATAGATCCCCCTTCAGATCTCTTTTTAATATTGGGGCATAGCACATGCCTGCATTTGCATCAAAATACAAATTATCCATCTCTCACCACATTACTTTGCCAATGAATAATCTAATTTCATCCTGAAATTAAAATATAACATATATAAAATATAACTCCTCACGTAAATAACACACAAGAATTGTTTGTTTATTTGACCTTTATGCCTTTTGCCTTTGTTTACTTGACCTTTCAATAACTGATGTTTAGTTTAATTAAAGGTATTGTAAAAAGGAATCTACTTTTGAATTTCAGAATCATGGATCAAAGTCCACTCTAGCAAAAGAGAATATGAAATATTAATTGTAAATATTTATTTTTTGTAAAATAAAAAAGTATGTACATACACTATTTATTAAATTTTTAAATAAAAATACATTGCTTCAACAAGATTCTACTCATATAATTTTAAACAAAAAAACTAAAATTAAAAATGCTTTCTCTTTCTTCTTCACTTGTTAATAACATGGCAGACCTTATTTTGCATCTTGGTGATATATTTAGGCTATTTATGCTGCTACTGCTGCTAATTTGCAGTTTTCACAATTTTCTCAAATTCATTTTCCTACAGTGTGGCAGGACATCATTCAATAAAATCCATAATCAAAGATTTTTAAATCCTTACTCAGCTCCTTATAAATTTCCTGATATGAAGCCAAGCAATTACACAATTCCTTTCTAAATTTTAAACTTGTTCAGATAATTCTCAAGAAAGCCTAATTTCCAATTCCACAGAACTCAATTTTCTTGCACTCTCACATTTATGGCTATGATATAAACATCTTTCCTTTCTTTTAGTTTCTTGTTTCTAGCTTCCTTTCTACTAAACTTTTTTTAGTAGGTGTCTTTTCTTGTAATACCTATCTGGTGGTTTTAATAGTCTTCCAAAAAAAAATTATGTTTGTCTATGTTAACAGTGTTTAAGCGAAATTTAACTGTTTAAATTAAAGTTCTGCTCTTTTTCAACCATGTTAACTGAAATCGTGCAAACTGAATGTCGTGTACATCGAGGATTATCTGAAATTTAATGAAATATGCTAGGCTATATATAATAGTCATCAAATATTTCTTTTTAAATTTAAATAAATAATTGTAACAGCCCACTGATAACATAAAATAAGCAAAATTATTTCATGCAGGAAAATGAATAGACAATTACATTTTGATATGGCACACCACCACCGAGAGGATCATCTGGAGACAGGCTTTGGTTTTCAAATCCATAACAATGGAAAAAAGTTTGTGCCTTTATTTTTATATTAGGCTTAGCTCTTCTCCAGCCTTCCATTGCTATCTGGTGTTGCTGTGCAGTACTTACAGCTAAACAAGCACAAGCTATGCTGAATTGAATAATAAATAACATAAATAAAATAACCATATACTTTCCATTATTAAGGCTGTAAATAACAAATAATATGTAAATCATACATAAGCTATATCCTAAATAAAAAATTAACTGATTAAGATGTTTATATGACCTGAAGAAACTTCTTTAACCCTCTAAGCAGCACGGGTGTTTGCATCTGTCATGGAGACCAGTATTTAAACAACATTTATTAGCTAAATTTGTATATTTACTTATTTTAGTATCTATTTACATAAACTTACATTGATTAAGATGGCATTTACATTATTAAAGAAAGTAAGAACAAAATATCTTAAAGTTATAATAAAAAATCTCATGACCGGCTTTATATGGTCATGAAACTTGGACAGTTAAAGGAACTTTTTACAATATAATTCTAATGACCTTCTTCGGGTATAGATCAATTCTATTTCGCAAAGATATTAATTCTAATAATTTTAACACTTGACTGAAATTAATTCAGAGTCATTTTTTAAATTTATTAAAATAGTACTGAAAGAAAATGATAAACTACATTCCTTAAATATATTTAATCATATAACATAATGAGGAATAGCATTTTGTCTAATACTACATATTCCTAATGTATAAACTGACTGTAAAAAGCATAAAATGCACAACTTTTTTAGATTACATTAAATTTTGTATACATGGCATATTTATCTGAATTCACTTATAATATAAGCATACTGCTAAAGTATAATTTTTACTTTCATCGAGAGAAAAAAAAATGCAGGTGGAAACACTAAATTTATGTTTGAAAACAGGACTAATGTTACAGACATACAATTAAAGTGGGAAAAAAAATCATTAAATACAGATGATAAATGCACAAGAATTCAAATCCACACTTCGTTTGCTGCAAGGAAGTCTCAATGCTTGCCAGATGCTGTTTCTAAAATGAATATGAATACCATCATAGTGTTTCGAATTTCTGAAGACATGAAATGGCAATGAAAATAAGTACATAATTTTATATGTTCTAAAATACTAGCATACGAACTGAGTTACGATTACTGATGGCTATTTTAGTTAAACATATCTTATACACTTTAAGAATGGCAATACAGAAACTATCTGATTTAGAACAAATTTATAATCTACTTGGACCCTTTTCAAAACAGGTGAGGCTTTCAGATTTTTCAGATTTCTTCAACAAATGTTTACTTTTAAAAATGAAACAATAACTAACATAAAATGCACATAAACAAGAACTGCCAGAGAAAACATTTTAATCATACTGAACGCTTATTGTGCATCTCTAAAGATTCTGCAAAATAACACAGTAACACAGCAAACTTCTCACTTACATACTCCATTTTAAGCATGAAATTACTTCATTAAAATATTATAGATGGCAACCTCTGAGCAGAGCTATTAGCAATAAATGTTATTGTGAATAACTGATTTCAATTTCTGCATAACCCTTTGGCTCCCCAAAAATAGCTGTCAGTAAAAAAGCTTGTTTGCTTCTCACATTGCTTAATATATTGGTAATACTTAATGTAAACAAAATTTTAATAAATTTTTTATAATTATTGTAGAAAACATGGTGGTTCGATAATACTAGAACTGCACCAGAGATGACAACCTTAACCCAGACATAATAGTATGCCCAACTCCTTAGATCATACCTAAAACAAACACCTAGCATTCATACAACCCAAACCAAACCTGACAGTACCCTTACAGTCTCTGCCAGGCCTGCATGGATCATCACACAAACAATGATTCTAATCATTGTAAAGGCAGCTAATATCCTCCATACTGTCCATTAACAACATATGGACATTATGAGTTGCCAGCTCGAGGGGGCAATTAGCAGCAAAAGTGGGATAGCACACTTTAATGTTGCTGCCCCTCTCCATGTCGAGGGAAGGCCCTTCTGGAGGTAAATACTAGGACTATACATCTTGATTTATTTTTGATAAAACTTTAAAAAACAGTTCTTAACATTCAGGCAGAGTACAACATTGTAAACTCTACAGTAACTTTGTGTGCAATGGAGTTCGCCTTCTGTAATGCATAAATCACATCACAAAGATGTCCCATATAGTGGAATTCTCATATAGGATTCCCATATACCACTTTCTGTTGATGAATCTTGTACAGAACAAAATGTCTGTATTTTTATTACATGTGTTGATGTCTTCACCTTCCACCTGTTTTCATGTTATTGCAGTGCTCTCAATCTTCTCACTACAGAAATTTGAAAATCTTTCAGTTTAAGGAATAACCTTCATTCCTCACAGAGAACAAGAATCACAAATTTGTAATTATCACATCAACAAAATATTAAGTATACAAAGCAGATACGTTTGCACAAGCAATTTTGAAATTTTAAAGCACAAAAAGGAAGGTTATGAAACTCTACAAGTGATATCGCATCCTAAAATGGTGATATTGAAGGAATGCTCCATTTTATCCTGAAATTTCCAGCACATGCCAAAAGACAGTGTCCTGTGCTATCTATTTATGCATGCCATCGTGCAAGAAAACCACCAGCTTACATTCTACAGAATTCTGAATAAGTGGTTTCAGTTTTAAACCACCAGAAGCAAAAAAGGATACGTGCATTCAGTGAATCAGTGGGTAAACTGAATCTAATTCTTCTGACCTACACTGAAAATCCTTTTAATCCTTTCCAAACAGATATCCTGTATAAGCATTCTGTACAAATATCTCTCACAGTCAGGCATCTTACACACGCGCCACCAGAGATTGCGCCGATGGGATGGGTAATGCATACATGCAATTTTCAGCTGAACTATTTTTTAAAGACCCACTAGATGGCATCCTGTGTCCATTACTTTTGAGCTGAAGATAGTTTTAAGATCCTGCTATTTGGTTTGATCACATTCTGCCTATCTTTGGTGTCAGCTGTTGCAGGGAAGGAGGAGAAGCTAATGTAAACAGAGCTCGTCTCTTTTAACTCGCCACATGATATAAACATTTGTGTTTCTGTTATCCCTTCAAATCCTTTTTTTTTTTTTTTGACTATATAGGGTCTTTTAGGGTTACTATGTGGGATTCTGTTGGGCTTTACACTGCTTTTACCGCTGACATTTCATGTACTTCCTTTTTTATTTTGGAAAGTGTCGACTTCAGTTTATTATGGTGAAGAAGCATTATTTATGAGAACACATTAATATGGTAAATGAGACAGTTAGTGACCTGGATGAGTTACGATTCATTTTCTAAAAGTGTTAGACAGCAATATTTCAGTTATTCTGATACGGACATTTTATCAGTTGTGAGCTCACTGAGTGCCCACCTTCCACTTCCTGTGAAAGATTTTGTTATTTCTTCTAGTAAACAGCCCTTCTTGTAGTTTTCATTAAGTTTATTAATGTATTTTGTGAACGAAAATTTCAGAATAATTTGAATAACGTTTCTGGAAATTATTTCTCAAAGTAAGCAATTTTTCTTTTATAATTTTATGCAAAGTAAAAGAAAAAGATTATTAAATGCTAATTTTTAACATATATGGTAGCTTAAGTAATAATCTAAAACGATACTAAAAATTATGAACTTTTTGTGTGATTTTTTTTCTATAGTTATACTTAGTGATGCTAAAATCCCCCCCCATCCTGTGAAACAATTCCTTTCACCTTCCATCCATCCCAAAGGAAAATCTTAAATAAAGGCACACCATTTCTAAAGGGTCAACCAGTGCATTGCTGAGGTATTAAGAATATTTTTTTTAAAAAATGGAGACACTTCCTTCAAAGTAATTTTCATTTAGTCCCATCATTTATTAGATTTCACAGGCCACTCAGTCACCACACCCAAAACAAATGATTCAAAAATCATGATTGCACACACAATACATGATATTTTTTTATTATTATTATTATTTTTAGGCAAGGAATATGCCCCCTCTTCACTAAACTTTTCCTAAATTTCTCACAACTTTTTGCCTTTTTATAAAAGAACATAATAAACATATTTATCATAAGAGTTTTTTAATATATGTATGGGAGAATCATACAAATGTGGTTATTGCTTCAATAAAGCGAAAACATGTTTTAGCTCAATGGTTGGGTCAAAATTTCGAAAATAGCTAATTTGGTACACTCATGAGCAATAGTGCACAAGTGAAGAGCTATAATTCCAGGAGACACAGTGTGGAAATGGATACTAAATGGCTATATACCATAGAAATGAGATATTTTTGGTAATTTTCCACTAAAGCCATACCATTTTACCCTTTATTTGTTTTGGTACATTTCTTCACTGAAATGGCTATGCTGCCTTCTTTCCGGCTGGGAATAAAAAGGCATCTAAACACAAATGTAGTTTGTTGGATCGTACATTACTTTCACTACTGTAGATTCATTCATCTTATGGCATGAGAAGATAGTCAAGCTTGCTTCGAATGAATCACAACAGAAAGGCTAATTGGAATAATTATATGAGAAAGGTTTGCGTCAAATCCTTATTATTTTATTCTAACACTAAATTCGATGAACACTGCAAAATTGTGGAAACTGTTGAAAGCTTATTAAGGAAGAAAATGATAAACATAGGCTGTGTGTTCTCTCACAATCAGTTTTAAACGATTTTGTGAAACCATACAATGTTTTCTTTTTGTTGTTCACAATGAGTCTGTTTCATTTAGTATTGAGCCAAAGGCATTGGGAAAGATAAAAGCAAAGTTTCTTAAATACAGTCCCAAAAATGTATTATATGGCTTACAGGTACATACAAGACTTTTAACTTATTTCAATTTTCTGATGCATCATCCCACAGTGGCAGATACAGCTTGATCATGGCTGACAGGAATGACAAATGCATAATAAATTCATTCATGCACATAACTTTTGTTATGAAATCTCACGCTCCATCAATTTTGGAAATCGGTCTGTCCCCTTCTTTCACACAAACACATGATGTTCCCTTGCATCTCCAAAATCCTAAAAAAAGTAGCTGTATGTTCACTCATTTCTTTAACAGCCATAAACTTTTTCATACTACAATTTAATACCTAATAAAATGTAAGGGAAAAATACAAAAAAACGAGCGTGGTGCATGAAATTCTTAATGCATGAGAATGGTAACAATCATCGATCAAGTTGAAAATCAAACTTTTATTGCTTTAAATATCTTTTCTCCTCCATTCGCTAAAAAAAAAAATGTCAATCATTAATACACTCATAGCATCATCAAGCCATTTTCAGGAACATGTCCATTAATTCTCCAATTTTCATCTTTCAGAACAAATAGCTTCAGATGTTTCTCTATTTCAGTTAAGTTAGGTTAATAGATTAAGATAAAGCAATTTTTTGGCTACTTGCCTATGTGGAAGGATGCCTTCATCAAAGATATTTTAAGGGAAAAAAGGAAAACTCCTAGGCAGCCTGCATGTTTGCTGCAATTTAAACTATCAGTGTTCAGTGACTACTACCTGGTCACTGGTGGGCCTGCCTTTGCTTTGAAATATAATGAATGCCAAGGCTGCAGATTTACCTAGGAAAACCCTTATCACCAAACAATAGGCCAAACAGCATTATATTCCACCTGCAAAAACATGTGCACACAACATTATAACTATGGTTTGAGTCGATTTGCTAATCATGACATCAACACAATTAATAGGTTTTTTTGAGAGCACAATTGTAACTTCTATTCAGTTGTTAAGCAGTTTCGCATTTTATGAAGCAATTCTTGTTACATAAATTAGACACCATAAAATCTGAAATAGTTGGCATCTCCATATTAATCAATGATCATTAGATACCAGTAGTGAAACAGTCTCCATTTTGAGACATTTACACCAATCACAGAATTTTCATTTAAACTGAAAATATTTAATGTCTGTATTTTGGATTGACGATTAAAAAAAGAGAAGCTTATTTCTAATGTTTCAGTGATGCAAGCAAAGAAAACATACAGCATGATGAGCAGCTGACAGAAAGCAAAATTAGACAATCAACATAATTAAAAATTGTTTCAAAAGAATATAGTAAAGTTAAATTAAATTTAAATAATTCTTTTGCACCATTGCTGCAAGGAATTAAATTTGAATTTAAAAAACATTCTCTATTCGTAAAAAGCAAATTTAAAGTTAGTTAAATTTTAAATGAAATTGAATTACCAATAAATGATTAATTATTGATGTGAACTAATCAACAATATCATTTAAATTCTGAGAGCATACGTAAATCAAGTGCAAATATCAAAATCTATGAAGATATATAAAAACAGAGAATGTTTGTTAAATTCAAAACATAATTAAAAAGATATTCATAACAGATGGGACACCAAAAAGCAATATAATACTAACAGAATGCTAAAACAGTTAAGTGTTATGATTTTTAAAACAGTATTATCACAATGCTTATATAGCCAGGACACAAAAATGTTAATTCATAATAATTACTACTATATCATTTTTACATTCTGAAATAAAAAAATTATTAAAAGATATTTCATTGAAAATTTTCTATAGGATATTAGCAGAAATCACAGCAATAAAGATTCTTCAAATCACTTGTAGCTACTCATAACAACAGTTGTATTTAACAAATCTAAAGACATGCAGATTATATTAGTTACAAATCTGCATTATGTATCAAATTAATAATTAATAAGAAAACTTTTAATTTCCTAAAATTATTTTCCGCATCTTAAGCACTGAAATGCATTTACAAAAAACAAAAAAAAAAAAAAAAAAAAAAAAGGATACAAAAAAAAGCAGCACTTGATGATGTTTAATGGCACCAATCAGACCCATTAATGATAACAGGAAAAGGAACACACCACAAGCAATTATGCCACCAACAATGGCAAGATTTGTGACTATGCTAGCAACTCTGCTGTATGCAGCAACTCCAATCAGAATGAAGGAAACCAGCTAGAAACATTAATAAATACATATATCATAAAAATATAAAATAATTTATAAATTATTTTAAAACTTGTATGCTTAAAAACATGATATAATAATTCTGTAATTATAAGAACATATTTTTATAAGATTTCTCTTTAAGTAAATATACTTATGCATACTTTACATATTCTGCATAGTAATGCGGTTAAATAGTAATAGTTTAGAAGTTAACTTCCTATACAATATTACATTTTATTTTAACATGTAATTTTAAAAAATGCACAATTTATCTCTAGAATCTCTGATAAACAATGCTTATTACAGAAAGCAGTTTAGCTCAGCATGCTAAAAAACTTTCGATACTCTTTTCTGTATTTACAAAATTTTTCTGACCCCCAAAAATATAAGCCGTTACTTACAGAAAATCCTGCCGACCACTTTTGCCTATTACAGGAAGAAAGAGAAGAAAAGAAAAGAGGCTAAAGTACATGATTTTTTGCCAAAAAATGGAAAAGTCTTCTTCAAACGTGCTGGGTTTGGTGTAACCTTGATTACACATGTTAGTTAATATTCTTGAGTAAAGACTCTTTTTCCCTCCATCACGCAATTTCGAAAAAAAAAAAAGAAATTATTAAAATTTGGGACCTGCCTACTACAGAACAGCATGCTGTTGAATATTTCCAAAGTTATGAAATTTTACTGTCCTCAAAAAATGTGTTGATGGCCACGAAAGGTGCTTTATTCAAAAACAGAAAAGTAATAATAAATAAAAAATAATGGAAATTTTTAATGAAAAATTAAATATAAATAAATGATACTATAATAAATTTGAAAGAAAAATAAAAATAGAACGTTTTCTCTTGTATTTTGTAAATGGTTTTTTTCCTTTGGTTTCACACGATTGGCGCAGTCTCTTGTGGTCAGCGGCATTTTCCGCAAGTGCCATCTTTGCCTAAAATGTACTGGTAGAAATATTATGAAATGTACTTACAATGTATATGATATTTAATGCAATCAATGCATTTTTTGAGCATGTAAATCCCCCACACATTTTGCACTTGATTTCTGGATTAATGCAGCAAATTTTCCAAGGAATGAACATAAGATGCTAAAATAATTAAGAACGTCACTTCAAATAAAACAGTTTTATGTTTCTTAGTCTAAATCTAACAATTTTTAAACAAATAGTAACATCATTTAAAAATTCATGTAATAAATGCCAAACACTGAGATACAAATAACTTTTCAATACAGAATGAACTAAAATGATCAACATTCATTATTTACTGTGTTCTATATTTCACTAACTGAGTATCAGGTAAAACTTCAATTTAAAGGTCCAGTTACATGAGCACAATGAGCTGAAAATTTCAGACTTCTACAGCTCTTTCACAGAAATCACTAAAAGATGCAAGACTGCTTCCAACCTGCCTTCAAAAGCATGAAGTATCTTGAACCAATTCCTGTTGCTATAAAAGATTTTATCCACATATTATAGCACAGCTAAACAACAATAGAGGGTACTTTTCCATTTTGCTGGCAGACATTAAAGTCGCCAATAATAATACAACTGATGCCAAACATAATATCCTCATCGGTAACCTTTTACTCCTCATTTTCAAAACAAGTCGCAGCCATTTCTTAACAGATTGATTGTTTCTTTCAATACTGGCATACAGTTACATAGAATTTTTACCAGCTAGTTCAATTTTATGCTTTAAGACCATTCGCAGTAATTAAGTCAATCAGGATGCAATCACAGCGCTCGTCCAATGACGAAAATATAGAAAAGGCAAAGTCAAGGGTTAAATTCATCCATTCTAATAAGAATGCACTTACGGAGTAAAGCACTGCGGTTTTACATAATTTCTGAATAAGCTATTCATACGAATTGAAATAATTCTTGCATTTAAACTTGTATTGCAAATTAAGATTTAACTTGAAATTAATGTAGATAATTACTAAGAAAATTGGATTTTTGTAGCGTAGTTTGTGCGAAATGATATCACTTGGGGTCACATGATATGAAAAGGCGAATGAGGATGTTGAACCACGAAAGCATAGTAAATTCTTAAATTAATATCTTTTTCCAAATTTCTTGTCTTTATTTATTGGCTTTTTACAAAATTTTAAACGATATTAAAATGGTTATGCCTTCAAAATAAAAAATTCTTAGAACTAACATTTGTTAACATTTTTTATGTGTACACTGTATGTTGTCGAAAATAAAGTCTGCTTGGCGAGATTTGTGCCGGTGAAATGATAAAGTACCCAATAGAGATATTCCACGTCCAGTGAACTTTCTAAGAAAAACTTGCTTGCATTTAGTTTGCATATAGAGAAAAATCATTAAAATTACATGTGGCTATTCTATAGGTGAAAACTGAACTGTGGCTTTAGAAACTAGTTTTCCCACTTTGACTTTGGAACTAGAAAATATAATTACAAAGATTTCTACTGCAGAAGATCATAATTTATTATTTTTTTCACACATGTAAAATCTGGCTAAATATTCCATTCCCTCATTTATACATTACAGAAGTTGTTTTCAATAATTCCTGATATTTTAAAGGATGTAATGTATTTTTTTCCCTACAGCAGGTCTAAATAATCGTTCATTAAAACCATACTAATTTTAATAATCTGAAATTGGCACAAATCACATGAGTTGTTTTTATTTATATTAATCATTAGCATTTTAAAAAATGTAAGTTCAACATTATTTCAGAATTGAAATTTTTACTATTTCTGTTGTTGTTGTGACTTACTTTACTTGTCTGATCATAACATCAAAACAAGCCCACAAAATACATCATGGCAAGGACAGCAAGATTGAGCCTATCGTTGGCAACAGCCTTGAGCACCATAGAGGTGACAGTACAACTTTGCTCGTTTCCAACCCCAATTTTGATGGAGAGCACCCCGTGGGGACAGGTCCAAGGGTATCTCACCCCTCCTTCCCTACCACCAACCTCTCGAGAGGACTTTCACCTTGCTGCATGTTTAAAGTGTGCCCATGCCGCACAGACACTATTGCATTTACAAACTTCCATGCCTTCTCCAGGATTCAAACCCATGCCCTTCGGAATGGCACTCAGCGTTGCTGACCACTATCCCAGTTGGGCAGTTTCTTCATTTCTTAATTCAGATCTCATACTGTCTGGTAATATTTATTTTCCCCTCTTATACTACAACCTCATCAGTGGTCAATAAAACCACTCAACACTGGTAGTTCAACTTAGATTAAAACCCAGACAAATGAATGGGATGGCTGCATGGTATTTTTCTGTGATTTTCCTCATATGTAACATGAATATGAGCCTTTTTCCTTAGAATGTCCTTCACAAAAGCACCACTCTCCTCATGCAGATAGTCCTTGTGTGTTTTGCTATATTCAAATAATCCTAACCCTCAAACTATGGAACCTATCATAATAAATCAAGATGAAAGATTTCTAAATAAGATTTTAATTCAGTCTGCAGACCCTCTAATGGCCAAGTGCTAAAATCGCCGAGCACTAATAATTCGACATGCGTTCAAATCCTGGCGAACGCACTTGTTCCAAGAAAGTTTTTTTGTCTTTTTCTATATTCAATTTGCATGTGATCTAGTTTTCCTTAGAAAGTCCTCCATGATAGCTTCCATCCTCTTGCACAGATTCCAAATCCATTAATTTTTTTTTTTTTCTGCATTAATTCTGCAATTACAATTCCACCTTTTTAAAGAAAGCTTAGGATAAAAATTTGTAAATATCAAATCAAATGCAATTACAAATATTTTTAAGCAATTAACATTTTAAGCGGCAAAGTTTTTTAATATGCTTTTAAGCAGCTGAAAATTAAACAAAAAAGCAACCTTAAATTGGTATAGAACTGCATCAGAGCATTTTTTAGCTAAATTTGTAATTACTCACTCAGCTTTTGGTTTTTGTAACCTTCCATTCATCAGAATAGTGATAACGCCATTAAATGCAGGAGGAGGAAAATATTTTAAAAAACAAGAAATGATAGCAAGTTTTTGTGAGCTAGTATAAGTAGTTACAAAACTCAAATAATTAAATATTTGTGAAAATTTTGTTGACCTCTCTCAAAGTTACCAATATTTCTATATACAAATAGAACATAATTAAATATCAATAATGAGTATTCCAGATAGTGAAATATATGGAATCAGCATCACAATATTTTCAAAGGCAGCCACTTTGAAAAATGAATGGAATTTTCAGGAATCGAGTAAGAATGTTACATACATGATTCATAATACCAAGAATGTTATAAGAATTACAAGATATCAGCAATTTACAGATCTCTCCAAAGTGTTTAAAAACGTAATATTTAAGAACTGTCAAGAGAGCTGCTTGTTTAAAAAACTTGTATTTAGTTCACTGATGGTGTTTGTTGCTGTAATCAGAAGATCCTCATCAATTTTTAAAGTACTTCTCGATAAGCTATTAAGTTCAAATTTTGCATGCATACTGTTTGCTGATAATACAGTGCAAATTTTATAAAATTCGATTTAGTATTTTACAATTTAATGCTGAAACGATTTTTTTTGGCACGTTTCCATTTAAAGAAAAAACTAAAATTTCCATTTAAAGAACAAACTAAAAATTTACAAAATTTGAAAATTGTACAGTTTTGCAAAACATAAAATAACCTTTTTTAACAAAACTTCCGACTTTAAGCAAATTTTTGAAAATTTATACATTTTTTTTCTATTATTTCATGTAAGAGAATTATTGGAAGTAGAAGACTGATTATTCATTGTTAAAAAGTGATTTTTCAATTGATTAATTGGTACTTTTCCGTTTTGCCGGCGCAAACCATAAAGTCGCCAATAATGGTTTAACTGATGCAGACGGAATATCTTCACTGGTAACCTTTTACGCCTCGGTTTCAAAACAAGTTGAAGCCATTTCTTATCAGATTGTTTCTTTCAATACTGGCATACAATAATATAGAATTTTTACACGATATTTAAATTTTATCCCCTAAGACAATTCACGGTAATTAAGTCAATTAGAACGCAATTACACCGCTCATCCGAAGGCGAAATCAAGTGTTAAATTCATCAATTCTAATGAGAATGCACTAGCGAAGTAAAGCACTGCGGTTTTACATAATTTCTGAGTAAGCTATTCGTATGAATTGAAGTAATTCTTGCATTTAAACTTGTATTCCAAATTAAGATTTAACTCGAAATTAATGTAGATAATTACTGAGCGAATTAGATTTTAGTAGCGTAGTTTACGTGAGATGAGATCACTTGGGGTCACGTGATACGAACCAGCGAATCAGGATTTTGAACCATGAAATCATAGTAAATTCTTAAATTAACGTCTTTTTACAAATTTATTGTCTTTATTTATTGGCTTTTTACAAAATTTTAAACCATATTAAAATGTTTATGCCTTCAAAATAAAAAAAAATTCTTAGAATTAACATTTTTTATGTGTATACTGTATGTTGTCGCCAACAAAGTCTGCTTGGCGAGATTTGCGCCGGCGAAACGGAAAAGTACCGATTAATTTGATTGATAAATGTGTCATTAAGACAAAAAAGTTTATAAAATTAAACATTTAAAAAAAAAAGTTTTTTTTTATAACATAACATTTCATTAAAAACACTTAAAACACTTAGAGTACTGAGGATAAGAGATTGCTTAAGCTCCTTTGTAAAATTCCTATACAATTTTATAATACAAATAATAAAAGCACAGGTTTTTAACTAACGGAATGAAATAGTTGAATCACATTGACAAAAGTATAAAATTTATAAATTTATGAAGGGTGCCCGTTTTTAATATTTGCGATATAAATTTGTAGATAAATTTTGTATAGAGAATTATTTAGTCTTCTGTTTCAAAATAAATTACATGATAAATTATTTCTCTCCTTTTAATTCATTAATGATTTTATGAAATATAAGTAAAAGTTTATTTTATAAAAAGCTTTTTTTTTTTTTTTTAATTCTATAAACTGCTCTAAATTGGAAACCCTTAATTCCCTATATATATATACGGACTTTCTAACTGGCGATAAATATGTTTTAGAGTCAGGCCTTTATCTGAAAACATCAAGAAGATTTCTCCCTGTGCTAATGACACCCATACCCATTACCCATTGTCATCAAGATTGTGTGGACAAGTCGCCTTAGCTATTTAAGGGTGGAAGAGAAACCAAAATCCAGCCTAGCCGTTCTTGACATACCTTTTCACTGTAATAAAAATACAGGCAGGCCTGTATTCAAGGTACATATAAAATAATAATTTTCTGCAACAACCCATTAAGAAACCTGTATACAAGAGCAAAATAATCTGGGACAGGGGTTAAATTGCACCAGTACTGTGGTGATCTGCGATTTTCAGGAAGTACAACAAGAACAAAAAGCATGGTAAGTTTTTATGTTGGCAACAGGAAGCCAACATAAAAACTTACCATGCTTTTTGATATTCAGCTACTAATATTTAAAAAAACATTGTTTAGATATCACTGCATGAGTCATTTGTCAAGCTGCCATGTGTTGATGGTCATGCAGTAATGACAGCAAAAAATAATACATATTTATTCACCAGATCGCCATCACTTATAAATTATTCAGTAGGCATAAAATCAGTGATATTTCAATGTAGAATGTCTTGTTTTGAGATGTATTCTAAGGAAAAAAAGGAAGTTAAGGAGCTAAATTATTATCGTACAGATTTATGTTATTAAATGATTATTTCTTCAATATGGAATAATTTATTTAGTACCAAAAAGAAATTAAGAATCAGAATTCTCCATATGTTTTATTGTCTAAAAATATCAAATGCTGATGCATAAAGCATAAAAAAAAATTCTAAGAAAAGGTGGCTGGTGGTCCAGAGGTTCAGATTCGAGATCATTCCAGATATTGCTTACCTGGATATTAAACTTTGCACTGTAATAAATAAGCCTTAAAAACCAATTCTAACTTTTGAATGCATTCCTGTCTTTTCCTGAGAATCAAACTCTTAGAAGGAAGACGAGACTTTTACAGCTAAAAACTCACACATATGTCAAAGGCTCAGTCTCCAGGAAGTAAAGCAAATTTATTACACCAAGTTATTTTTTTTACTCTGGAAAATACCAGAAATGATCACACTCATCATGCATTTGCAGTGCTAGTGACTTCCTATAAAAAAAAAAAAAACCACCTGCAGACTTTTTGGAATGATATAATAAAATACAAACAACAAAAATTGTCACTTATACAGACAGAGCCTTTACATTGTTCTCACCTTAAAGATCATCACTCAGATTAGGAGGAAACTTTTTTTCCCCTGTCCATTCTGCTTCACACCTAAAATTACATCGGCAGGGGACTGTTTTCAGAAAGTGATGGATCACTCTCTTTGTTTGCATGCCTGCACATCCACCATTAAAATGTCCTAAATATTCTCACATTGTTTTTAGCATTCTTTTTATTATCATTAAATATGCTTTACCCATTTTACCTTTATTAACTATTGTGCTGGGTCATTGTTTCTATCATCCTTGAATTAGCATATTATACTGCACATTAACTTAAATTCAGCCAAAGAGCAGTTGAGCTATTTCTTAGCTTTCGGGTGAAGCTGTAATTCCAGGTAGAGCCCCAAATCAGATTCCAGCATTTTATTTTAGTTAACTATTTATTATTAATTTAATAATTTACTAAATTTTGTATTTATTTCCTTCAATTTTATAGAATTTTAATTATTAATTCTTTTGTTAATTTAATTATGTTATTAGTTACTTTATTTATATATTTCATTCCTCTATCCCACTGGCTTTCTGCCCACCAGGGAACAAGCAGCACAGTCGCTGAACCCTTTAGAATAGAGTTAAGGGTGCCTCTTGGATTATCACTAAATTGTTTCATTTATCGCCAAGTTGTTGTTTCATTTATGGTAACCTGAGTAGTTGAATGCTATGGAAACCCTATTATGACATAATTGGTCGAGTGATTTGAATCTGAATGCTGTTTTTCCATCATTTAAAAAGGCTTGTTTGTGTGTCGGCTTTTGGATAAGAAGTGCATTATTATTTTGTGGTTTAAAAGGTAAAATGACTGAATGTGATAAGATTAAATTGAAGTTTCTGTAGGATTTGGAATGAAAGGGGGAAAAAAAAAGCATTAACTGATGTGTAAATAAAGGTTTACTTAATAGCCATTATTAAGTGTCCTGTTTTAGGAAGGAAATGCGTATGGTCAAACGTCGGAGGATACCAACACTAAGGAAGATACTTTTTACTCACTTTTGTGAATTTATGTGGCGACACCAGCATACAGATTCTTCTTCTTCTACAATGGCCAGACAGCCCAGGATGGGACTTTGCCTTCCTCAGAATCGAATTCCAAGCTCTTCTATCCGTGGCCATATACATCCAATTGGCTATTTTTAAAATTCTTAAGTCTGTTTCCAAACAGTAAAGCCACTTAAGTTTAGGTCTCCCTCTTTTTCGGTGCCAAATGGTCTGGCCGAGAAGATCTTTTTAGTTACTTCATCCATTCTGCACAGGTGTCCTGCCCATTTAATTCTCTGAATTCTTATATATTTTACTATATCTATTTCTTTAAAAGATTTATAGAGTTCAGAGTTAGTTCTTCTTCTCCAGATATTGTTACATTTTATGGCACCAAAAATACTTCTCAAAATCTTTCTTTCAAACGCAGAAATAATACTTTTAGCTTCTTTTTCTGTCATTGCCCAGCTCTCAGCACAGTATGAAAGAATGGGTCTGATTAAGCTTTTTTAAATTTAAATCTTCATTTTTCTGCTAGTGAGGTTAGACTTCAAGTACTTTTTGAGACCGAAAAAACATGGGTTAGCATCTGTGACTCTACTATCTCTCAGGCATTAAATCATCAAGAGTATCAATTTCTGATCTTAAATATTTAAATTTGCTAACAGTTTCAAATTTGTAATTCCCAATTTCAAAATAGGGGCTGCTGCATATATAGATGCTAGTTCAGATAACTTTAGGAAGTCTTTGGATGCTGTTAAGGAATTTTGTTTGATTGAAGACACGAAAATTTGTAAATGAAGTAGGTGGCTATTTCCTTTGTGTAGTGCTAAGATGAATATCCTTTTTTATGTTATTTCATCATTTGATTTAAAATGTAGTTTATTTAGATTATATATTTTTTGGTTAGCTCCTCCTTTGACTTTTTAAGTGAATATAGATCGATGTGCACATGGACAAAGTCAAGGGAGTATGCAATGCTTAATTTGTGTAATTGTCTGATGTTTTACGTGAAAATAAGTCGATGTGTACATGGATACTGAGTTTGTGCAATTCTTTGACTTGTGACTTTGGATTTGTGTAGCAGCTATTTTTTAGAGCAAAAATCGCAGCTACACAAAGCCAAAATAACAAGTCAAAGAATTGCACAAACTCAGCATCCATGAACTGACAAAAATTGCCAATTATTGCTCAGGGGCACCCATAAATATATTCCTACTGTCCAGTGTTCAAATCCTGGCAAATAAGCAAGTTGCATGGGAGTCTTCATTGTTTTCTCTCTGTGTAACTTGGATATGAGCCAGTTTCCATTAAGACAGTCTTCCACAAAAGCATTCCTCCCCTTAAGACAGATAGCCTTTATGTGCTTCGCCACCTAATTAAACTAAACCTGGTGGTTTTCGATAGAGCTTTGGCACTTCTAATTTTAGATATTATGCCCTAGCCTTTCACCACTTTCTTTCACTAGTAATTTTTGGCCAAAGCTTCCTTTACTGCCTAAAAGTAATTTTTACTACACTGTCATTCTCTAAATACCCAAGATACATTACACAAAAAAAGCCTAAAATATTAACCATTTAAGAGATATTGTAACTAAATCTTCTTGCACTTGCAATAATGCGTCATTAAAAGTTGTTCTGTTCTTTTATCACACTAACCCCAGTGATTACTATTTCTTCTGAACATGAGATCACCTTATGCAAGTAATTCATGGTTGTTACATAAATGTAAGTCACTGACAAACTAGTTCATGTTAAAAAAAAAAAAAAAAAAAAAAAAAAAAAAAAACGGTGTGTCTAATATTTTGGCTACAATCTGGCTACAAATGTAAACATTGTAAAAATTTAAAAAAAATAAATAAATAAAGTTTTAGTCTTTTCTAATTTATAAGGCAAAAAACTTACATTATAAAATGTATAGTTCTATAATGTTCTTGACAGGAATCCTTAAACAAAGCAGGAAATTTTCACTATTTATGATCTTGTAACACCACTATATGTAAAAAAAAAATAATAATAATAATAACATTAACCACACTGTATAAATAATACTAAGCACAATTAAATACAACAATAAGTAAACTATTACTTTCCAATGAAATTTACATATAATTTTATTTTTTAAATTACTACAAATGATCTCTAAGGAATGTTCACATGAAAGCTTTGCAGTCACAAGTGGCATTAGTCAAACTTCACTGCTAGGCAACCAGACCCTGCATCATCACAGAAACTGGCATAAGGATTTTGTCTAATTGCTCAAACTGCCTTTTACCAGCCTGGTATAAAAACTGACAAATAACAGAGAAGGAAGCACAACTTGACACCTTGGTCGATGATTTGGCCGAGTCAGCTAAACATTCACACATGTACAACTTGTCATTCCAGGACTGGCTATGGTTTAAACAATGTTCCAAAGGTGTGAATGGAGTAATTTATTTTTATGCTTTAAGCCTAAGGCAATACTGATAAATAGGCCATTACATAAACTAATTTAAACTTTTCTGACATTTCCTTTAGATTATTTTTCCAGAATTTAAAAAAAAAAAAAAAATCAGAATCAAAATCAAACATTATAAATATTCCCTTACACTTTTCTGATATCACAATTTTTTTTAACTTAAATTAACCAAAATCATCAACTTTATCATAATGATTTACAACAGCAGACGATTTGAATACATGATTCTTAGCAGTCCTACAACAGATAACATTGTACTTACATGGTCAGTACCAACTATTATTTTCATGAAAATAAATTTGCTTTGACAGTTAGTACAACAAAAAAAAAAATAAAAAAAAAAAAAAAAAAAAAAAAAAAAGCTAAAAAAAAAAAAAAAAAAAAAAACAAAAAAAAAAAATATTTAGATTCATTGCACTGATAATCCCTTTTTAGTTGTGAAAATCTATATCATAATGATTAGCATGAAAATGTAATTATTAATGAACCTGTACAAATATAAAATAAAAATATTTGAATTTTCAGATATTAAACAAAATAAATCGCCACCAATCCATGAAAACTCAATTTTTAAGCAAGAACCTAATCGGTTACATCATAGCTTAAACTTAACACTTTCATAAAAATAAAAATAGTTGCAATAAAAAGAAATAATTAATAAATTAATGAAACATTTGTTGGAAAAATACTCTTATACTCATTCATGTATTTTTAAATGTCATGCTTTAAAAATAACTCTTCTGCTATCTATTTGTAATTGAAAACTCGAATAATTCACAAGGATATGATATAGTCTATTACAATGAATGAGATGTTTGCAATATAAAATGGCATACTATTTTGTTAGGAGTTACAAGAAATACACAAGCTGCTGTACTTCTATTATCAGATCTTCGTTTGATGTTTTATCACCAGACTTGTTTGATTTCATAACTAAGCCAAAGTCTGTACATTAAACTTGCTCATCAATGACAAAAATGCCTGTTTAGTTTACTTCACAAAAAAAAAAAAAAAAAAAAAAAAAAAAAAAAACTAGTATTTTAACATGAATTTTAAGAATTTCTAAAAAAGGAGCATCAAAATAATATTTTCAAAAAGAATAACAGAAATATATTATTACATAGCAAATTAAAAATTTTCTGAAAACAGATTACTTACTACTATTCTGTTACTGATGCTATTATGATATATTTCTCTTACTATTATATTGATACTTTGTTACTATTCTGATATACTTACACATTTCAAGTACACTTATATTAGAAAACTGATACATATATTTAGCTTCCTTAAAAGAAGTAATTTAACAGTCAGAAATCTGTTTTGTATTAATTATACCTTCTGCAGTCTGAAAATGAAGACATGTTCCTGTGAGTTCTAACACAAAGTACATGCAAAAACATAGGAAAGTTATATTTCTAATAAAAGTTTAAAAGCAAAGAATTTGTATCACTGCCTAAGGTATATGCCGCTCCTGTAAATTAGATAAAACTAATAAATGAACTATTTTTTACTCTTGTACAATCGAAAACAGGTGTATGTATTTAAATAACTTACAAGTAATCACGCTGACACAGCATTTAATCATGAAAGCTAAAATTATTTTAATGAATACGCTAAAAGCTGCTGTAAGTTTCTATAACAGACTAAGGTTTTATTGATACATAGAAATAAATAATTTGAGCATCATAATGTCATAGCGTTTATCGCGCTCTCGTCCATAAACCTAAACCTGCACAGTAATAAAAAAAAATTCCGTAAAATGTGCACCGAAAATGTTCTTTTAATTCATTAAAACTCAAAATATTCTCCTCAAATACGTTTATACACGTAAAGCGAACACATACGAGGGCGTGACTTCAGCTCAAATACAATCAAATTGCAATTTCACCAACCCCTATTTATTCTAGTGCGCATCTTTTTGACTTGCAGTACTTCGAGTAAAAAGTAAATTTATTTTTTCATAATTTATTTCACTATTTAAATCAATTAATTTCTCCTTTTCCAATTATAATTATTTTGTATAATTTACGTTTTCTGGATAACTGGCATACTACCTTCCCCATTCTCTCACCAATAATACATACAGTGGTGTATTCATGGGGTAAAAAAGACCACACGCACCCTCGAAATTTATTTCTTGTACTAACAAATGCTGCTAAAATCTTAAGGTGGTATTAAAATTTAGTCCTACTTGAGACTTCCTACTTGAGAATTTACAAAAATGAGCGCATTCATTTCATTGGATCTTTTCTTTACTTTGCCGCGTATGTAAATGTAGCTGTAACGTATCTCCCCCCCCCTTTCGATGTGTCAACTTTTGAAATGAAACATTCCAAATCCTTAATAAGTCTTTTTTGCTTAAAATTAAGCCAGTATATTCCAAACCTCACTCAGCTATCTACTTACAATGTATATTTTTTTTTACTTGATGAGACACTCACATTTCTTCAGTTTTCAGCACATTGTACATTTGCGTAGAGTACATTGATTGTTAGGTTATTTTACACTTCTCTCCCATCTTTTGTATCTAATTTATGCCCATGAATAATTTGTAATTAAACTTATTCAGAAGTCAAACAACAAAAATCAACGATTTCACTGTGAAAGTTTTGTAAATATAACGCTGATTTTTGTTGTTTGACTTCTGAATTAGTATTTATTCGGCGTGTTATTGTGTCTTCATTAAACTTATGTTTCTCTGTGTTATCTAACTTTAAGTTTCCCCTTCTCTCTTGATTAAAGGTGGCATTATTCTGCTAGTTTTCTTATTGAAGGAGGCATTTTTTGGATTGACATAAGTTGTCTCCTATCGGAAGTGATCACATATATACACTTATCTTCATTATTCACTTGCCGATGGATGAACAGGTATTATACCAGTCAATCAAGCGAATATTAGAATAAGGTTCAATTTGGGTAAAGAAATTACTTTTCACATCTATTAAAAACACATTCCAGAAAAGGATGGACAGCATCAATCAAATGATTCAAATTTAAAGTACACTGGAGGACCATGGAGAGACAGCGGAGGTGCTGCTGCCAGCATCAGAATTCAGCCCAAACCAAACATGAAGCACAACGCCAAAATAGTACTTAAAATTTTTAAAAAAATAAGAAATTAACACTTAAGTTCCTTCAGGGCTCCTGGCTCAGCTGCTTAGCAGTACTTCCTACTTGAGAATTTACAAAAATGAGCGCATTCATTTCATTGGATCTTTTCTTTACTTTGCCGCGTATGTAAATGTAGCTGTAACGTATCTCCCCCCCCTTTCGATGTGTCAACTTTTGAAATGAAACATTCCAAATCCTTAATAAGTCTTTTTTGCTTAAAATTAAGCCAGTATATTCCAAACCTCACTCAGCTATCTACTTACAATGTATATTTTTTTTTACTTGATGAGACACTCACATTTCTTCAGTTTTCAGCACATTGTACATTTGCGTAGAGTACATTGATTGTTAGGTTATTTTACACTTCTCTCCCATCTTTTGTATCTAATTTATGCCCATGAATAATTTGTAGAATCTGAGATTTTATTTTATTTTTTTAAACTCACTTTTTCATCTGGCTTTATAAATAAAAGTTCGCGTAATTTGCTACGAATTCACTTTTTACGCTTATTCCAAATTGCCCTTTTTCCTATTAGCCTTTCCTTAGTTTGATTTTTCGCTGTACGTGCAGAAAGATTTAGTGAGTGGAAAATAAGACATCTCTCTACTTTGTCTCTCTATACAAAAGCAGCCGTTCCGGGCATGGAAGTTAGAACTAACCTCCATGATTCCGGGACTGAGTGTCTATCTGACTGTAGGATGGCTAAACACGTGGCTGAAATAGAAGCGTCTCAATTTCCCCGCAAATTTTCTCGGGTTGTCATGAGAGTACGAAAAAACGTTTTAGCAAATTTTTGTAGTCACAAAATTCAACCAGTGTCATTTTAGTTTCTCGTTCAAGGCTTTGTTACGTTATTTGAAAAATTTTTAATATATTTCTGCCATTATCTAGTATGGATTCTACTGAAAAAGAAATTTCCTGTTTTTGTGGGAAATAGTTTCATCTCTTTCGAACTGTAGGGTTTCCGTTAGTTTATTTAACCTATTATTCAAATTTTTGTTATCTTTCCTGAACTTCTCAACTTCCCTTAGCCAGGATGTAAATTTTAAGTTAAGAGAAGTGAGTATGCGAAGCAGGCCTCAACGCCACTGGACGCCGCCGGCTTCGAGCAACTCGACCGTGCTGGTAAAACTCTTTACGTTAAAATAAACGAGATTGCAAATGAGCTTGATGTTCAGATATTCCACCTTTCCCCAACCAAGGATGATTTTCTAAATGTTATCGAGAAATAAATATTAACTAAAGAGCTTCAATTGAAAGTGAAAGAAGCAACGAGACTTGACAGACTTAAACAGAGTATTTCTGTTGGTAAGCCAAATTCCTAGCGAAAGCGCAAAGGCCAGCAAACTGATAACGATTATTACCCCCAGCTTCGAGGAAGCAAGGTAAACCTCTAATTATTGACATAAGTAAAGATATTGAAATTGTAAATGATTGTGAAAATGTAACTTCAAATGTTAGTAATATAAATGTATCCAATATGGCCGCTAAATCTACTCCTTCAATCAAAAGCATCTAGTGAAAGGTCAAAGGTGAATCCTGCTACTGGCCAAAGGTCAAAGTTGAAACCTAGTAAAAACAAGTTCGAGGCAATAAAAGAGTCTTTGTTGAACTATTACAAAGAGCCAGATTCCAACGCTGAGGTTTCGGTTTCCCGTGGCAACCAGGAGGTAAACAGAGGAGAAACGAGTGATGATTCTAGCGAGCATGTGAGGAGCGTCTTCTCCCCCCCTTCCACAGCAACCAAATAATATTCCCGCTATTCACGTGAAATCAAGCAAGCAGTGGAAGATGCAAATGTCATTTTTGCCTGAGATTGCTCCGAATATTAAGAGCAGACTCACTGGTTCCCACCTAAAATTGTTCGTTTAAACCGAAACCTGGAGGTTAGGAGGTTACCCGCTGGATGAAAAAGGCTGACATCCATTATAAGACTTTAGACCTACATCAGGACCAGCGGAGCCTTAGGACCGGCCGGCCAATCAAAATTGTAATTAGAGGCCTCCCGGTTGAAGTCGAGGATGTTTAGGATGAAATCGAGTCGACAGGCTTTAAAGTGCATTGGTGCGTTCGGATGACTCAGCCACGCTCCAAACATCCAATGTCACTTGTATATTTACAAGTACTCCCTCATCCCTTCATCGACCATCTGTTTGCTGTCCATGACTTGTGGGGCACAGGGGTCAGCACTGAGCGTTATCGCGGCCGTAAGAGCGCTACTCAATGCTTTCGGTGTTAGGGTTTCTTCCATTTATGGGAAGTCTCCACCTTATCAATCCGTTGTGTTAGATGATTGGACCCCACTGGGCCTCGGAAGCAACCAGGCCTATGGATATTCCTGTTACTTTCCGTAACTGCGGAGGCGATAATTCAGCCAACTAAGGATCTTGGCCTTGTTTCCAAGGAAATAAACGGACTCGTGGCAAGAAAACCACATCTAAGGATAGGGCCGCTGCCCCGGCAGCTCCAACTCAGGGCACTTCGACTCCCTCGGCAAACGCCGTTCCAAGACTTCCCACAGAAGCTCGCCCCAGTGGTGTTAACCCGATAAGTTATGCAGCGGCGGCAGGAAATGAAACTAAGGGGCTCGGATGTAATTCCAAACATACAACATTGTTTGTTACAAAAAAAAAAAAAAGAACTGTAACCCCCAGCAATCACCTCAGCAGAGAGTGCCGACTCGGAAGATATTTTCTCCTCCTCTCTAAAATGCTTGATTGACATCTCCTGCAACGCTGCGGTAGACAAGCATATTCTGTTACTAGCTTTCAAAAAGGCTATGCCTGAGCTTAGGCAAGCAGATGTCTTAATGAGAGCTTTTTACCTTTATGAAATCTATATTGAGCTTTCAGACTAATTCGGCTAATCTTTCGGCCTATGTTTCCTGTTATCATTGCAGAGCCTACCATCAACGGGCTAAAATTCAACTCGCAAAGTGAAAAAAGTCATATTGCCAAAAGATCTTTATTCATTTGTACATGGAATGCAAATGGCTTGTACAATAAAATCCATGAAGTACGGGATTTAATAGCAGAGCACGATCTTGACGGGTTTTTAGTTCAAGAGACACACTTTATCCCAGGGCGAACTCCCAGAATTAGGAATTATGACATTTACTTGAATGCCAGTGTGTCATATGGCAGACAAGCAAGTGGTGGCATCTGTATCTATGTGAAACGTTCGATTAAGCATCACATGATACCGCCCCAGATTTGGAACATTTGGAAGCAAATATTATCCAAATTTTTATGCAAAATTCTCTTCCCCTTACTATTGTTTCGGCATACCTTCCCCCACAAGGAGCTGCTCGTGGGAGAAATGTTTTTCCTGTCAATGATTTTGATAAACTTTTAGCAATTTCAAATCACCTAATCATTGTCGGTGATCTAAATTCACGCCATACCGCATGGTTTTGTACTAATAGAAGCAGATTTGGCATTAAACTAAATTCATGGGCTCAGAGCTCCCGTGTACATATCATAGCTCCTACTACCCCGACTTATAACCCTGCTAGAGGGTCCCCCGCAGTTCTTGATCTGGCTGCTTTTTATAATGTTTATTTTCGTCATGAAAATCTGATTCTGATGACTACACTGTTTTGATTACCCTAGATATTCAAAATCGATACTCAAAATTGCAGGAGAAAGTCTTTACAAATCGGGACGATTTTCGGTTTATTTTGGTATGTACAGCTACCCCCTATCAAAATTTCTAGCAATGCGGACT